CGATTTGGTTGTAAATACTATAAGTCTCATCCCCTTGTACATTTATACCCCCACTCCTGGATATTATTCTGTAATAGCGTAGATTTACATTCCGCAATTTACAGTTTTCCAATTATACCATGGTTAGACCTAGGGTTTGTATGTACCTAAAATCAAAACTCTAGATAACCTAATACAAGACAAATACATGTAATCAATACACAATCACACTTGCACCCCCTAGGGTAATCCCACATGTTGCCTTCCAAATGGGCCATGCTTGCACGTCGAATGTCTTTGGCAAAACGAAATCAAATGATCATAAGTCCCTCGATGACGCTTTCGAAAGTCGCCTATCAAAATGATCAAGTCCCTTCAAAACAAATTGCCAAAGACACTTGGCATCATTGCATTCATGGTCCATACGATGACCCGCGCCCGTCCCGAATAAACTTCCTAAACGCAAGATTGTCCACCAATTTCAATGGTGGAACAAAATTGTTAAAAGGGGTTAAAACATGATAAAAACCTTTGAGTACAATAGGGTAGACAAAACTCTTAGTTACTTGAGATCAAACTTGCAAAAACACTTGCCTTCTTTTCAAAAAACCACAATCCACAACACTTTCAAACAAACTCTCAAAAACATTTGAAAACATCTTTTCGAAAAGATTCACACTTTTGTAAAACACTCAAACACGAGTCAAATACATTAGTTGCCTAAAACAAGGCATCTTTTTCCAAAACATTTTCAAAAAAGCACCCACACACACACCATTTTCAAAGCAATCGAAAAACAAGGCAAGTGATCTAAAAATCCAAGTAACTAAGAGCCCATGGATAACCATGGATGAAAAGGGTGCTAGCACCTTCCCTTTTCATAATCTACCCCCCGAACCCATGAAATATCTCAAAAGGTTTTTGCTGTGCTTTTTAACCTTTCCTTTAGGATAAAATAAAAAGTCGGTGGCGACTCTTGCTAACCGCACAAGTGCGAATACGAACGCAAAACACTAGTCAGTTCTCCCACCGTATCACAATGTCGTTCATGACTTGTATTGATTTCTTCGACGTAGGTGTCGGGAGGTCGGAGAAGGCTCGACATTTGTCGGGATATGCTTCAATTCCTCGTTCTGTCAGGTAAAACCCGAGGAATTTCCCTGCCTTGACCCTGAACGTGCACTTCCCGGGGTTGAACCTCATCTTACATTGTCTCGCTTGGGCAAAGACTGCTTTGAGGTGGGCTGCATGATCGGTGTCTTCTCGGGACTTGATGATCATGTCGTCCATGTAAACCTCGAGCATGTCTCCGATTTGTTTGTGGAACACTCTGTTCATCATATGTTGGTAAGTTGCCTCTGCGTTCTTTAGACCAAAGGGCATTACGTTGTAGTAATAGTTGCCCGAGCTGGTCATGAAGGCAGTGCAATGCTCGTTGCCCATGGCCATTGGGATTTGGTTATAGCCTGAATAGGCATCCATGAACGATAGTATTTTGTAACCGGCCGAGTTGTCGACCAGCATATCTATGTTTGGTAAAGGAAAAGCATCCTTCGGGCATGCCCGGTTGAGATCGGTATAATCAACACACATTCGCCATTTTCCATTATTCTTTTTGACTAATACAACGTTTGACAGCCAGGTTGAATACCGGGCCTCGGAAATAAAATTTGCCTCTAAGAGGTCTTTTACAGCTTTTTCAGCAACCTCTGTTTTCTCCAGAGACTGCCTACGTCTATGTTGTACTACTGCCTTAGAGGCTGGATCTATGGCGAGACGGTGACAAGCGACCTCGGGGTTGAGTCCGGGAATTTCTGCGGCGCTCCACGCGAACAAGTCGACATTCTCGCGCAAGTAGGCTTTGATCTGCTTCCTTTCCAGGTCGGGGAGGTCAGTACCAATCTTCACACCTTTACTCGCGTCCTCGCCGAGGGGGACGAGTTCGAAGTCCCCGTCCGGAATTGGTCGGAGGGGGACTTGCTCGCTGCTGGGAGGCTCGTCCTGGTCGAAACGGGTATCCAGAGCTATGGAGTCGACCTTTGGGGGAGCTCTCTGCTCTTTTGCTTTGACGGGCTCTGGTTTTTCGGACTCTTTTCTTGTCGTCGCTGGTCTCTTGGAGGGCCTTGTCCCAGTGTCGGCCGTGTCGCGTCCTTTAGATGCGGCATTGAAACACCTTCGGCAGCGTCCAGGTCCCCCTGGATGGTAGCAACCCGTGCCCTCTTGGTGTAGAATTTCATCTTCAAGTGGATGGTGGAGGGTACCGCGGTCAGCTCTGCTAGTGTTGGTCTTCCCAGGATGCAATTGTAGAGGGACGGGCAGTCGATGATGAGGAAGTGCACCTTAACCTGCCTCGTCGTTGTTACCTCGCCGAAGGTAACCATGAGCTCGACGTATCCCCAATGTTTGGAGGTCGAGCCGTTGAAGCCCTGTAGGTCCGACCCCACATAAGGTGAGAGGTGCGAGTCGTCGAGCTGTAGGGTCCAGAATAATTGATTGTACATCACGTCGACGAAACTTCCTTCGTCAACCATAACGCGGTGTACGTCAAAATTAGCCATTCTTACTCTTATCAGCAAAGGAATGACCGCGTTGGGGGCCCCTCCGGGGAGTTCTTCGAGGTAAAAGGTGATAGGCTCTAACCTACCTTTCACCCTTTCAAAAGTCACCGTCTGAGGTGTAATACCCCAAATTTGTCCTACCCTTTTACTTTTATCTGGCTTACGCATTTTTGCATTTTTCTCACATTAGGTCATCTAACACATCATGCATCATTAATTGATAGATTGGCATAAGATCACGGATTTCGAGGAATAAGGGTTGGTGTATGGCTTTAAGGCTCCCATCTTCGCACAAGCTTATTTCGGTTGATTTCTCCATTAATAATCTGTTTGAAGCTAGGTTTTCGTCTCAGGGACCTTATCATCATCAAGCTACGATGCTATTCTTTGCTTCTCAATGTCAAGTTGCAAGGTTTTATGAGACGGAGCTAAAAATCAGGGTTTATACATTTTCATATTTGAGCTTGTCAGCATTCTACCTGAGGTTCATTCCATATCAAGGTATTCGCATGTCTCATCTTTCATATTCATCTGCAAAGAATTCCTCAGGGCATAGTCATTATCATCTATTGAGAAGGAGTCCAAGACGCTGTTGTTCTAGTGCTCACATAGTCGGGACATGGTACAAGATGTTGATTATGATCAAGGTGTCATTGCTTCAAATGCTTATTGCTTGACACGCAAATTTGGTTTAGATCGGAAAATTGAATTGAACTAGGGGTTCACTGAAGCTGCGGTTTGATTAGAATTCATTCATCAATATTTGAAGTGGATTTGGAATATTTGAAGTGGATTTGGAGAAAATCAAAGTTCTTAAATATTCGCGTGGCTTTTCTTGGAATTCAAACCACAAACATGAAAAAGCATGTATTAAATTCATCCAATCATCAAAATATTGTCCAAATATCCTCTCTTGGATTCATTCAAGATTCATGTCTCTTTTGGATACCTTGCAAATATTTTGGATTCATACCATTTATTTGAATTCATACAAAGGCCATTTCATTATGTGGAAATAAAGTCAACATACATTACAATTATTCAAATACATACAAGTCCAAATTCCATTTACAATTATACATAACATCTATACATTTTTTACTAAAGCCTATCCTAATTTTCAATCATTCTCCATGTTCCAAACTTCAAGCTTCCATAACATCGCAAAGTAATCTCCATGCTTGATGCCCTTATGTCTTGAATTTCTTCACCATGTTTTATTCGCATCATCTATGGCCAAACTTGTTGTTAAAACCATCTTCAATATACCTTTTCATCACATGCCCAATCCAAACCGCTATGAACCTGAAAATAGCAACAAAAACCTGATGATACTTTGTTGGACGTGGAAGCCAAATGAAAATGAAAATGGGATGGAAGCCAATTGCTGGCAGATATCTTCTTCATTGGACGTGGAAGAAGTGCCATCAGGTGCTTTACTTATAGACACAAAACTAGAAAGCACAAGTGATAAGCTGCACAATCAAAAAGATGGTGTGGATTGTGACAGTGCCTGCGAAGAAAAGATAAGAGCCACTGTTGTTAAAGAAATCACTGATGATTCACATGTAAAATCATCACCCTCACCTGATTTTCATAACAACTTGAGGAATTCACCCATAGTTGATTCACTATGTCAGCCTGCCTTGTTGGATCCAGGGAGCGAATTGAAGAACGGCATATTGCAAATAGAAGATAATTTCTGCGTATTGAAGGATAGTTCTGCAGATGGAACTGGTAACTCTACCATTCAGGAATCATTTTATCCAGAATCAGGCCAGTCCTCTTCTATTTTAATCACCAGTACCTCTCCAAAGGATGTGCCAGATCTTCTTTCCAAGGGTAACAGTGTTTCCATCAAGGATACCTGTCCTGTAGACAATCCTGGACAGACAAATAATAATGGACAAGAAGCTGTTGAAGTTGATTATATCACTGAAAGCACACTGTTACCTTCTCAAACTAATAGCACAACAACCACTTCTAACTGCAAAACAGAATAGTTATAGCATAACTAACAAATATCCAAGACCATATTCAGTAACCAATTTTCTGCCCTCAACTAACCCTCTAATCTCTAACAGGTTTTAAACCAATCATTTCTAACTGTCAATAACTAACTTCCTCATCTCATACTAACACTTTAACAGAATTTCTGTTTTACAAAATAACAGTTTTAACCAAGTCCAACTAACTCTCAAACTCCAAAATCCAACCCTTGATTTCTCTAACAGAAATCCTCAATCTATGGTCAAGATTCAATCACCTTCTAACTAACATTCACAGATCCAACAATCTATATAACAGAATTGAGATTCACGAGAGGGATAGAATAGATAGGAATTCAACACAGAAAAAAAAGGGAAATTATTACCTCTAAAAACATCTCATTCTTCAACCTGAAGAATCACCACCAAAACTCTCTCTGAAATTCTCCAAATTGCATCTTCTCTCATCTCTGAACTAAACCTCTCTGCACAGAACAGAGCCTGCACGCATCAAGATCAGCGCTTCATGCATCTTTTCATTATCTTCACACTCTTCATCAACGCAATCAACAACAAACTTTAACTTGTACCATTCTCTTCACATCACGCAGTCTTTAACAACACCGCAACAACAACATCGCAACAACAACATCGCAACAACAACAAGCTCAAAAAACGTACAGAAGCGAAGAAGATAAGAAGAAGAAAACAGAATAAAACGAAAGCGAGACGAAATGTAAACATGAACAATCCTGAGTAGCAGATGGAATGAGCGCTGGACATTCTCCGGCAGAGGCGCAGTGATGAAATCGCGAGGAAGAAGCAGAAATGGGTTGATGATGATGGCGAGGTGAGCCGTCGTGGACGAAGGTTGAACCGCGAGTGCAGTTGGATTCAACGAAGATGATTCACGGTCGGGAGATGCGGAGATCAGCGAGGATGGTGATGACCGCGCCGCCGAGTTGTCGGAAGAAGCGGAAGAAGACCGGCGGCGCCGATTCTGTTCGCCACGAGAGAAGAAGAGACTTTCTTTTCTCTCAAACCCTCTTCCCTTTCCAATTTTCATACTTTTCTTTTTGTCTTACTGTTTTATTATTTTTATTTTCTTGTTTCATATTAATAATAATTATAATTAAAATAATAAATAAAAATGTTGAAAATCTTTTGGGCAAATTACTTCTACAGCACCCCATGAATTCAGCTCACACCCCTTTATTTTTCTAAATTTTTTTCCTTTTCTTTTATTATTTTAGTTTTTTCTTTTAGTTTAATTTTTTTAATCAATAATAAAACAATAAAAATAATAGAATATTTTTAGAATAGAATTTCTTTTTAGAATTTCAATTAGAATTTTTCTATTTTATTTTTCATATTCGATAATCATTTTATTGACTTTTTTAGTCAAGATTTTTGTGATAGCATTGATATAACTCTTGCAATGTGGAATACTCGGGGTTAATTCTTCAATCACACGTTCGAGGAAACTTTGATAGAATTTTCTTACCGCTTGCACAATTTTGAAGAGGCAACGGACCTTCTCCGTTCGGTATCGTCGCAAATCTATTTTATTCTTCATTTTCGTACTTTATCGCAATCCAATGCATAATAACATCAGGTAGAAATTTCCCCTTTAACCTAAATCTTATGGCTACTAACATTAGGTTTAGAAATAGGTTAATTCCCCTTTAACTTTTCTTTCCCTTTTGCATTCGCACCTAAAACTAAAACTTTCTCTTTCTTTCAAAATTCAAAACACTTTAAAACTATTGATGAGAATCATGCTTTTGCGTAGTACGGGAAATGATAAGCGAGTCTCTTCTCGATCTTATTGTTCTTCATCTCAAGCATAGGCGTGGTTCAATTCTCAAAGACTCTTTTCATAACTAAGTAGAAAAATGGCTAATATCTCTCTCTTGAGGTCAATCAGTCATCATCTACAACAAAAAATACAAAACAAATTCAAATCTTTTGTGCGCTCGAGCACTTTTCTTTTAAACCCTTTTCAGGTAAGGACATGATTAATTTACTTCTGTGCCAACGCATAAGTCTCCAAAGGTCGAGCTGCGGCAGAAGGCGGAATTAACTTCGTCCATAAAAAACATAAAACAAACAAAAACATGTGAGCCGAACTACGGTAGCTCTGATTCCTCAAAACGGATACGTAGGCATTGGGGTAGGGCCCAAGCGAGCACAATTTTATTTTCCCTACATTTTTTTCTCCTTTCTTTTGCATGCATTCCTTCTAGTAGTATAGTAGACAGTAATCATAGATTAAACACACCCATAAGATAGACAACAAGAGTGGATACTGTAGAGTACTACGGGCGTGTGGGGTGCTAATACCTTCCCCTCGCGTAACAGACTCCCTTACCCGATCTCTCAGTCGCAAGACCGTGACTTCTCCCTCATCAGGTTTTCTCAATGTTTACCTTTCCCTACATGTGGGATAAAAGACGTTCGATGGCGACTTCATTGTTTTGATGATTTCCAGCCGGTTGTTTCATGAGGAGGGGCAGAGTCGACCAGTTCATCCAGCTTCCTCTTGGCCGAATTTATGGTCAGGTCGTTGAACCCTCCACCATTGATGACCATGGTAGAGGGAAAGTACTCCCACCTGTTGTGCATTGTGAGAGGCTCTTGCAGGTGTTCGGAGACGTAGAAGTCCTCAGGTCTTGTGATGGAGAAGGAGGTTTGGATGGGAACCTATTCGTCAGATGGTCGGGCATCCTCCTCCGGCTCTCTCGTCTCCCAGGCGTCGCGACGAGGAGCGTCGTTTCGCCGGTATTGGGCGAGCCTCCCTCCCTTGATGAGGGTTTTGATGGCGTCCTTGAGGTGGACGCAGTCTTCAGTCAGATGACCATGGCTCCTATGGTACTGACAGTATTTGCTCTTGTCTACCCCGGGCTTGGCAGGAGCTAGTCGAGGGTGCTTGACGCCTCCATCTTTGAAATCCGTGCTGGCACACTCCGCCAAGATGCGCTCGCGGGAAGTTGTGAGCGGAATGTATTATGTGAAACGCCCCGAGGGTCCTCTCTGTTCTCGGACTTCTCGGGGTCTGTCCTCTTTTCTTTTCTCCCCAGTTCGTCGAGGAGGAGGGGCCTCTTAGCCGCTTCCCTTTCCTCGTAATCCATATATGCCCGGACCTTCTCGAGGAGAGCATCGAACATTCGGGACGGTTCGATGCCCACTGCCTTTCTGAATTCTGTGCCGGGGAGGAGTCCCCTCTCCAGCAAGTATCTTTTCATGTGGTCCGCGCAGGGGACCTGGATGGCTTCACGATTGAAGCGGTTGATGAACTCTCTCAAGGTTTCATCCTGTCTTTGGATGATGGCCTCGAGTGCTGCCTCGGTCTTCGGATGTCGCCGAGACGCGGTGAACGAACTTATGAATTGATTCTTCAGGTTTCGCCATGAGGTGATTGACCCAGGGGCAAGACCTTTATACCAATCCATCGCTGCCTTCCTGAGGGTCGTGGGGAACAACCGGCATTTGATGAGTCCCCCAACATTATGGTAATGCAGCATAGCTTCGAACCCGTCTATGTGGTCGACTGGGTCCGCGACTCCATCGTATTCTTTCAAATGTGGAGGCTTTTCCATGCCCGGGGGAATGGGCGCCTCCATGATGGCTTGTGAAAGGGGACCGCGGGGGTCGTCCTCGTCACTTCGCTCTGGGGACAGGGACGGGGACCTGAGATATTGTCGGGCCCGACGATCCTGGTCGTGATGGATGCCCCTCGAGCGGGATGTTCGTTAGTCCGCCCTCTCGTGCCTGTCTCCAGGGTGTCTTCTTTCTCGCCATATGGGGCCTTGGTTGTGCCCTCCGGCTTCAATGACGGGTTGCCTCTCCAAGGGGGGTCGTCTCCCCGATGGTCGGGGCGACGGGCTTCGGGAGGTGTCCCTGTATTGCCTCTGCGGGGGAGACGGGAGACGTACCTCTGTTACTCAAGGAGGTGGGGTATGAAGCCTCCTGTGCCTCCTCGGGGGTCTTCTGTCGTCCTCTAGCGCCCTCAATCTTTCCCCCTGGGCAAAGATGAGGTAGTTGGTTTGATTGATCGCCGCGAACAGTGCTCTGGTCATGGCATCTGCCACAACGGGGACAGGGACAGGGACTTCCTGGAATTGGGGAGCTAGATAGTTCGGGGGAGTCGTATTGTCCTCTTCGAGTGGCGGAGGGACTGAAGAAGATGGGGCAGTGGCTCCATCGCGGTAGCCTGAGGGCCCGGGGATGGCGCCCCCGGGGAGTGTGCTATGGTCGGGGTTACCGGCGTTGTCGGGAATTCCGTTCTTATCCGCGAGGTTATTGTTGACGTCGACGGCGCGGATGTTCTGGTCATCCCGAACTTGGTCAGCCATGACGGTATGAGGTGATTTTTAGCTTTGGTCTTCGAGAGTTTGCAAGACGGGGAAGCTAGTTTCCCACAGACGGTGCCACTGATCTTATCGGATCAGACTTGTACCGTCACGGCGGCTCGAGCTGAATTTGAGTGAGATGGGGAAGGTACCTGCAAGACACTCTGATGCTAAAATGAGTGACGGAATGAGCAGGCAAAAAATGTATAGGTGCGTAATGGTTGAATACCTGACCCTCTGGGAACAGAGGGTATTTATAGCCCCCAGCGCTGGACCAAGGTCCCCTCATTGGGCTGACCAGAACTGGCCCAATAAAGGAACTGCCAGGTTCTACGTACGTAGTGGGGCCCCGCACGTGGTCCCCTTCCTGGTGGTGCTCTGCGAAGAATAAGAAGGGACGAAGACGCGGTCTTTCCGGAGCTTAGAGGATTCGATAACGGTCAGAATGGACAGAATCTGCCCTACGGGGAGGGTGCTCGAGCAGGACTCGAGTTGGAGTTCCCTTGGTCGGGGACACTGCGTGTCACGGGCAATGGCGGGCATACTGGCTACAGTCTATGGTCGGGCACGTTGGCGGTGGTACGCTGGTGAGCATTCCCCGAGGAGTTTGCTTGGATTGGGTCTTTATCTGCGGTTTGGGCCAAGGTGGGCCCAGTCCAGAACACTAATTATATAATAATACTAGTTACAAATATAATATAGTCATTATCACCTTTCTCTCTAAATTTGTTCTTATTTCTCTTTATTTTATAACACTCAATAAATAATAAAATTAAAATATATTAATACAATTAAAATAAAATATTTTTATAGACATTTGAAGAAATTTTTAAGATCATACTTAAAGATTACACAATTTTCAAATTTTTTTTTTGATTTCGTTGTCCAAGTTTAATAACATGTTTGGATTAGTTTTTGGAAGACTCTGAATTAATTCTAGAAATGTAGAATTAATTCTAAGTGATTTTAAGACGTTTAATTTATTAAAAATAGAATTGATTCTGACTTCATTATTGATTCTACTTGAACGTAGAATTTGTAATTTTAGAGTTTGTTTAGTAAGAGCACAAAAAGAGTTTTTAGCTTTTAGCTTTTAACTTTTCAGCTCACATAAATAAAAATGTTATGTATGATAACTATTTTTAACGTTTAGCTTTTAGCTTTTTTACTAGATTTTGCCTCTTTTTTTTTTCAAAAGCTATTTAAAGTAGTTTTTAAATTTGTAGCTTTTAACTTGTGATTTTTTCTTCCATTTATACCCTTATTATTTTAACAAAAATTCATCTTACCATTGAATGTAGTACCTTATTTTTTCAACGAGATAACTAAGATGAAGGAAATTCAAAATTTTATTATATTTTTATGGTAGAATATTAAACTATAAATTTATTTTTATTATTATTTTAGATTAATTTAACTGAATTCAAATTTCATGTATCTCGTTAAATTTTTTTATAAAATTTATATATAAATTTAATATATTTTGATGTTATCTTAAAGTTTTCAAAGATATTAAAATTGTTTTGCATGTTTTTATTAATATATTTATATTTATTAAATAAAAGTTAATTAAATAATAATATAATATAATAAGATAAATAAACTACATATTTTTTAATAAGAATCTTCTTTTATGTCATTTTGTATTTATCAGCTAGTGTAACAGTTAATTTATCAAACACTCAAATTAACTTATCAACTATCAATTATCAATTATGAACTACTAGTCTCAGCTACCAATTATCAGCTACGAGCTACCAGCTAATTTTATTAAACAGAAGATTTGTCTTAAGAATTAATTCTGAATGATTTTTATATTAAAATTTATTGTTCAACTCAATTTTAGATAAATATATTCAAATATAAATCAATTCTGTTAAAATCAATTCTCTCAAACTCAATTCTATTAGAATCAATCATGTTTAAAAATCAATTATATCAAACTCAATTTTATTAAAATCAATTATGCCGACCGTCAATTCAAAAATATTCATCCAATTGTAATCACATGTACATACATAGCTGAAATTGTATTGTAAGACATAAATAGGTATTTGGAATGAAAATGTCTCCAAAAGAACTTTAAGAAATGGCTTCAAATTTGAAAATATGTGAATAACTTTTCTATTCTTTGCTTGTTGTCCACTTAGGCTCTATTTAATAAAATTAGTTGATAATTGATAGCTGATAGTTAATAATTTATAGTTAATAATTGATAACTGATAAATTTATTTAAATATTTGATAAATTAGGTGTTACACTAGTTAATGAATACAAAATGACATCAAATAACATTTTATTAAAAAATTATAATTTATTTATCTTATTATATTATATCATTATATTATTAAATTAATTTTTATTTGATAAAAAAAATATATTAATAAAAACATACAAAATAATTTTAATATATTTAAATATTTTAAGATAACATCAAAATATATTAAATTTATATATAAATTTTATAATAAAATCTAATGAGATACATGAAATTTAAATTCAGTTAAATTAAACTAAAATAATAATAAAAAATTATTATTTAATATTCTACCATAAAAATACAATGAATTTTTTAATTTTCTTCGTCTTAATTGATTCCATTAATTCTTCCATGATATTTTATTAACTTGAAAATTTTCAATACTATTTCAAAATTTATTATATAATTTAAATTATATATATATATATATATATATATATATATATATATATATATATATATATATATATATATATATATATATATATATATATATATATATATATATATATATATATATATATATATATATATATGGTTTTTGTTAAAATAATAAGGATATAAATAAAATAAAAAATCACAAAAAAAGACAAAAGCTAATAAAAAATTTAAAAATTAAAAGATAAAATAATTTTCCAAACAGAATTTATTTATTTATATGTGCTGAAAAATTAAAAACTAATTTTGTAATCTTACCAAATAGACTCTTAATGTCCAATAGTAATAATAATTACAATAATAACTATATTATTATTATTAATATTATAATAGTACAATTGAAAAATTAGACAAATCAGTTTCTTAAATGCATGCACGCAAAAATTTGATTTATTTTAAAATATATTATTATAAAAAATGATATAGTATTGAATGAATGGAGGGTATCAAACCAAAGTACAGGGATCCAGGTGTGTTGCATGTTCAAAACACCCTCACCATCTTGAACATAGGATTCGTTTCAAACTATTATAAACACACGTGGTATGAATTAGAAAAGAAAGTACTTACAAACTAGTCATCATCCAAAATTCAGAGCAAGAATAATAAATAAAAAATATACAAGATCTAATTTGTAAAGCAAAATATAAATTGAAAACTTCATATTTAAGCCATACAAAAACGCTTAAAAATTTTGATAACTAATTCCACAACTGTACAATCTTAACTCAAAATAACCTAAAAAACGGTCAGATAAAAAAAACAAAGCTCAAGTTTACAGTTAGCTAAAAACAACCGAAACAATGATTCTCAAAACGACAGATGAATTAAACACAAAACGACATAAACCCGAATCTACTGCCGCAACTCTTTTCGGAGTTTCTGAGAGAATGATTTGCACGCATCCATGCTCAAATCCATGGCAGCTGCAAGTGCAACAAACGCCGCAGCATCCTCCGCACAAGTCACGTGCTTCACACCAACCTCCACCTCCGGTTTACTACACTTTTTTTCACCGTCAAACCTCGCCGACATGACAAATCCTCTGTAGAAAAACTGATTCTCTACTGAGAAATCCGAACCGGATCCAGATCCAGGTCTTGAACTTGTTCCTGACCCGAGATCCCAGCTTCCGTGTGGAGTACTCGCCGGAGTAACACCGGGAGTAACATCAATAGTGAATTTACCTCCGTGCTGTGAGTTAATAGTACACGCGGCGAGTGTAACAGGATCCGCGGTGGCCGGAAGAACATCGAAACGGTAACCGACCCCGTTTGAGTTACCTGGCTCACGCCAAGCCTCGAGCCGACCCCATGGCTTCCATGTACCATCACCATCGGGTCGAATAATAAGCCAAGCTCCCGGGTTAGATTTACTGACCCGTTGTGAACCGGGTGAAGGAACAAACGGAGTAACCATCGATGCACACGCAACCGGTGAACCGGATAAATCGTGTATCGTAATAGACCATCCTTTTCGGTCCGCTACCAAAGGATGATATTGATTAGCAGCAGGAAACTGAACCGGGTTCCTATCTCTGAAACTGAACTTGCAAGTGAAAACCGGTTGTTTGACCTCTCCCTTGACTTGGAAAACCTGTGGACTACACTCTGGTTCACCATCGAACCGGAAAATGAATCTCGGATCTGGTTCGGACCGGATAGTTAAATGCAATAACTGAGGCTGAGTTTGAGAATCGGTTTTTTTGCGGTTGCTTTTGGTTAGAGCAATCCAACCGTTATGAAAAGAACAATGTCGTGATTCCGATAAGGTAAGATCGAGTGGAATTGAAATTTGACCTAACAATTTAGAGGAGTTGAAAACGCATGAAGGATCTGTTCGTGTCTTGTAAACGGAGATTTTGATGGACGGGTTTTTAATATTGGAGAGTTGCGATTTGGGGAAATCGAAGCTAGCGGCGAGAGAGTGAGGGTGAGTTTCCGATTCCGATATTAGAGGAACGGTAGCCACGTGGCACGGTGGTGAATCGACGCCTCTGAGTTTGATTTTGCAGTAGCATGGAGAGCTGGAAGGGTGAACTTTACCGGAGAAAGATGGGTTTGAGGATGCCGGAGATTTGATAGCTAGGTTTCCGACGAGGATCCGTACGAAGGAGCACGGATCCATTGATTAGGGTTGGTTAGGGAGAATTGAAATTGAAATTTGAATGAGATGAGAAAGTGAGAGAGAGTGTGTGGTTGGTTATGTATGTGGAGTTTGAGTATGGAAACTGAAGGTGACAGGCTGTTACTTAGTTGGGTTTGGGAAAGATTCATTATTCTGTTTCTTGCTGGATTATTATTATTATTATTATTATTATTATTATTATTATTATTATTATTATTATTATACGTTTTGCTTATTATGGTCAGGATATTAATTAATATTTCAATCTCAACCTTTTTCTATTCACTTGCCTTTTTATTTTATTTTTCCTTATATTCTATTTTACTGTTACTACTCCAGCCATCTCATAAATATATATATACTTTTTTATTGTATATTTTTAAATTATTATAAAATAATAAAGTTATATAATAATTTAAATATAAAAAAAAGAAATACTAAAAAAGAAAAGTGATACATTAAAACTAGATAATTTTTCATATACATGATTATAAATATCGATTTAATTCATCTGATTATAATGTTTTCTTGCATATATCATATTTCTCTTATTATTAAATATTAATGTTTGATCAAAACTAACCACAGATCAATTAAGACTTTAAATATCTCTTTCCATCAAATGTCAAATTTAAAATAATTACATATATGAAACTATGTGCAAAAGATAAACTAAAAATCATCTAATATTAGTTGATATATATTTTAATAGTTGATATTTACATATATTTTAAATAAATTATTATACATTGAAATAAAATAATTTTATGTAATATTGAATAATTTTTTTAATTTGGTAAAATTTTATAACCTTGTGCTAGTTAATAATAGTAATAACTATCGATTCAATGGACATAATTTAGGCTCTATTTGACGAGATATTTTTTTAAGTTTATAGTTTATAAATTCATATGACAATAAAATATATTTTTGATAATTATCTTTTCATCACGAATTTATAATTTATTTTATCATCTGATAGCTTATTTTTCATATGTTATTTCAAATAGTATTTTAATTTATAGTTTATAATTTATCATTTTTTTCCTTCCATTTCTTCCCTTATTATTTTAACTAAATTCAATACTATTCTTTATAATTTATTTTTATTTAAAATAAAACAATTATATATTAAATGTCTTTTATTAATTTTCATTCATCAACTAATTGAACCGTTAATTTTACCAAACAATACAATTGACTTGTCAGCTATAAATCATAAGTCATCAATTATAAGCTATAAATTATGAGTCATCATCAATCATAAATTATAAACTATCAGATAATTTATCAGTCAAACTCTATTTTTATTCACCAAAACCTTAATTCATCTTTTATAAATAGTTACTAAAATATATAAGTGTGTTAAATTTGATACATAATATCTATAAGTCATAAAACAAAACCAATATATCAAAGTTAATTTGATATTGTCGGTTTGCTTGCATGTTAGGAGTGTTATCTTGGAGAAGAGCGGAGGTGATATAAAGGGAAAGTGTTACATTCTCTAGGTACACAATTCATCTTACTCAGATATTGACTTAAGCGTTGAAGTAATAATCTTGCAGGCCATCTCCTCTTCCTCACTTATGAGGACCTTAAATGATATCATGCCTTTAGCCATAATTCCACAATCGACCACTTAAACGTATCACATATACTTATCGATGAAGGCAACTCCTGTGACATAATGTATTCAGAGTTATTTGAAAATATGAGCTTCGAGAAAGTAAAATTGTGGCCACGTGAAAGGTAACACTTGCAAGCGTTCGATGGTACTAACACTCGCACGTATGGACACATTAAATTAATCATATTTATTTGGGGAAGAAGAGACGCCAAGACTGTGGACTCGCAGTTCCTTGCAAGAGTATCTATAATTGTTCTCAGTAGACTTTTCATTGTGACCTTAAATGTGGTGACTTCACCGGTTCACCTTAAATTCAAATTCCACAATCTTCACGGTGAACCCCTCACGACTAGTGTTGACCTTGAGGGAGCCAAAAAGATCTACCAGGAACTGTAGCAAAACCAGGGGGAGTACTGGGCCGTAGAGATCAATGTAGCTTTCCTCATCAGCTAGATAAGGAGCATGAATATTCAGCCTACCTAAAAAAACAAGTCATGTTGGCCCAATAGGCGTGAGTGAATGACCCAGCGAGCTACAAACCAGGGGAGAGAATAAGTTGTGGTAGCACCACCTGGTTATGTTTACAACTTTATCTTTGGTGTTATTCCTTGTATAATTAATTATCTCACAAAGTTTATTGTGATCTCTCCATTATAATGAACAAAGCACAAGTTCTGAAATATCTTTTCTTTGTGATATTATAAGGTAACAAAGCACAAGTTCTGGAAAAAAAAATTATGTGGTACTCAATAGGATCCACTTAAGTTTGCTCTAATCTAAGAGTGTGTGAAAATCTATTATTAAAGCCTAATGTTGAGAGAAAATGCATGTGAAAGAAAATACGGGGAAAAGAAGGAATATTTACAAAGTTTTGCTCGCCTAGGCCCCACGACTTAATGCCTATGTATCCCTTTCGAGGAATCAGAGCATCATAGTTCGAATCACAAGTTTAGGTTTTTTATATGTTTTTTACCTTGAAAAAAGTGTTTTTAAAAGAAAAGCCAAGCGAAAAAATGAAATTTGAATTGATTGATGTTTTTACCTTGAAAAAGGATTTTGTAGTATTATAGTGTTTTAAAGTTGAAAGAAAAAAAAAGAAGTTTTAGTTTTAATGTGAATGCAAAAGAGAAATAAAAAGGCCTAAGGGAAACTAGCAAAGTAAGCCTAGAGTTACCATACATGGTTTACAACCTAAGGTCTATCTCAATCCTCTTCCTAAGATTGAATCGATAAATCCCACGGGTGCATGTAAACATGCAATGGAAAGTAAACACACAAAGCTTGAGGAGTATCCACTCACTCAAGTAGCACATGCCTAATCGAGGTATCGTGTTACCAAGGAAGGAAAGGGAGAGGGATCACGCCTAACCATGATATTGTGTCATCGAGCTAGGACAAGGGAGTAGGGGCACCTAACCATGATATCTAGCCATCAAGGTAGGATAAAGGGAAGCTTAACCAAGATATTAAATCATCGAGGCAAGCAAGAATGGGGGAATATGTAGTTCTTAACCATGATAGCACGTCATTGTGGCAAGAAGAATAAGGGGTGTCAACTCTTAACCAAGATATCACGTTATCTAGGTAAGAGAAGAACGAGAGTAAATCATCATAAGCGACTAAATACCTAACCAAGATATCGTATCATCGAGGTAGAAGATAAAAGACAATAATGAGATCACATCAGAGTGTTAACGTGCACGGCACGCGAGCTAATGACAAAGTGTGTGGGATTGGTTATAGACCCCTATATTCCATTTCACTAACTCGATAATAAGAATAGCACGATTCGTAGCATCGACATACGACGCGAGCTATAAATGACCTGCGGACTACAAATTATGGGGGTCAATTACGGACCCTTTTCCACTTGCCTTCTTTGAGGAATTATCAATGGAGAATGGGAATGGGACGCCTTCATCGAGGTCTTTAGCACAAATATAAACACACAAAATGGTAAACAAACAAGTACAAGTAGAAATTGCCTTCTAAAGGACTTTTAAAACAACATTGTCCACCTAAAGTAAGGACTCTCAGTCATGCATCTCTAGTCCTACTTCACATGGAAAATAAAGCGGTAAACGATACAAGATATAAAAGGAAACAAAATAGAATACCAATCAAATGCAAGTTCATCAATTATCAGACGAAAGCAAAGAAACCCGAAAACTTCGTGCAAGCTTCACCAGACAACAGAGAAATAGTCAAAAATAATATCCAATATCAGAATCCAATGTCACAATGCGAAAATAAATCACAAGCAATGAGTGCATCGCATCAAACTAACATGATGCACAAAATAATGCTATATAAGCAAAGCATAATCCAAACAATTGCATTGTGCGATAAGTCACCTTCCAAAACTTGCACAATGTCACAAAATGAGTTAGCAAATAACAAGGAATATCAAATGCAACTCAAAAATCAATATCACAACACAAAACGGCATATTATCATACATAAAGCAAAATTGAATAAGCAACGGAATCACAAAACCAATTCCCGGGCAGCATGTACACTATCTCATGAATCGCATGAAAAATCGATCTAAAATTGCCACAACTCAATGCACATGTCCAAGAAATACCAATGCAAGTATCATAGTGCATAAAGCAATAATTAAAATTCATTTCAATCATGACTTCCATCACCGGGTAATACCTCTGTTATCTCATGAATCGGAAAATAAATCGATCTAAAAGTGAGCAAACTCAATAACAATGGTCCATAATCGAACAATTAAGCATAACCATGCATTATATGAGAATTAAATCACAACATACATGTTAGAATGAAATATGGACAACATTGTTATCATTTTTAAAATGCACAAAAATTCGTCTTGAAACTCAACGGAAACGCTACCAATGCTCTTCAATCATCCGATTAAAGCCAAAACACATTAAGTGCAAATTAAATCTCAATCCAAGTGAGTTTTTGAAATCCAGACAACAATACACCGTATCACAAAATAGCTCGGAAAATCAAATCGTAATTGATATTTCTCAACACAACTCGTCAACAAACGCACAAAAGGTCTCAAGCAAGTACCAAACAACATTTGAAATGCCATTTATAATGCATTTGCATTTCCCAAGCAGCGATGCATACATGAACCAATATCATTCTAAAATGGATTTAAAAACCACAAACGGATACATAAAAGTGTTTATCGATTCAAGTTTCATCACTACGAAAATAAAAACGCATTATAAACCATTTATACCGCATTAAAGTTTCGATTCCAATCAAACGAAATTAAATTCAAGTGTTAATGAAATTTACCGAATTTGAGATTTTTAATGTCAAAAAAGTTTGAATCATCCTCAAATTAATATGGAATTGTATTAACACATGAAAACACAATTAA